AAACAGACAATCTCTACTAAAAGTACCAAATGTTCTAATATTATTAACTCATTCTGTACAGCTGTAAAATTGTTTGGCAAAAAAGCTTACAGGAATGCGGCAAAGGATAAATATAAACCTTGCAAAATACCAAACAGTAAGTGAAATTATTTTAAAAATAAATTTTAATATTTTTATTACAAATAATAACGAAAAATTAAAAAAAGTATTTCACCAACATGTGAAGCATTATTTTTTGATTAGCTGACTTAAATTAAGGTTAACTAGAATAGCCGTAATTAACAATCACATAATTTCAATTATTGCCAATAAAAGCTTCACTAAATAAAAATATAAGTTTTCCATAAAATTATTTTATTTTAAAGATTGTGCAAATATAAATTGAATATACAATGAACCAATAAAATTAATTTAATTCCCAACACAGCAGTCCGGTCTACTGAAGATGCTGGTTTACTCCCAGCCGCCGAATAACCTTTTGCACTAGCTGAAGGAGAGAAAGTTCTATAGCCCAGTTCTGTTTTACTATACTTTTAATTGGCTTTTAATAAACATTTAAGAATATTAGTATTTATATGTATATACATATTTTATTTCAGATAAAATAAATAAAATTTAAATTTAATTATTTACTAAATGTAACAAAATAATTTGCAATTATTTAAAGTTTAATCATTTTTCCAAAAAAATTCTTTCATTAGTTTTTGATTTACAAATTGTATTTAATGGAATTGAAGAACTAGTAGTAGATTGATTAATAAATTTATTTGAACCCGTTCTTTCATTTTTATTTAATTGTTTCTAATAATTTTCTGGCCTCGTGGCCTTTCAAAATTTGCAAAATTTTCGCCTGCGGAGCCAAAAAAGGAAGAAAACGTCAACGAAATACAGAGTAGTTATGCCGCGATGCCAAATGTACATTTGCCAAAAAAGGTATTATCTCGCAATTTTGTGATTCATTTGATTTTATATCGAATTTTACTGAAATGAATATTTTTAGTTTTATTTGTATCATCGGCGATAAATTAAATTTAACAAAATTAAATTATAAGACAATAAATTCTTTACAAATTCAATTATTAGCTTTAAATTTTTTATTTTAAACTTTCGATTTATTTTGCTAAAATTCTCTGATGGAAATTAACAGATTTACAAACAAACAATTTCTTAAAAAATTCTAAAATTATATACAAAAAAAATATTTAAAAAATTATTTATCTAAAAAAAGTATAATTTTGCTATTTTAAGAATCAGTCAATTTTATAGCGAATTTTGCTAAAAATTATTTTTAGGGTTTAAATTTATGTAGTATATATCAGGGGTGGGCCTCGTCCCACAATATACAAGACACGAGATTCACAAGATACGAGATAAAAATTCTCTGACGGCAATGAACAGATTTACAAACAAACAAAAAATTTTTCTTCAAAATACCAAAATTCACCAAACTACTACATTTCACCATTTATAGGAGTTAATATTATTGAATTAAAAATAAAAAAACAGTTTATTTTAATCCCATCGCAAGTTAATTAATTAAAAGAATATTTTTAAAAATAAAAATATTTATTATTCGGTTAACCAAAGAATGAAAATTCAAAATTTCTTTTCAAATATTATTCTGATTCAAATATTTATTTATTTTTGTAAAAGTAATAATTATAATATTTTTACCAAACAAAAATAATTATTTAGGTAACCAAGAAACTCCTTGGGCTTGTGGAGCTACAGGAGGAGTTTCGGAAGTAAATAAATATTTTATACAAATATTGCAAATAATATTTTTATTATTTAAGACGATTGCTAAATGGTTTGCTAAAGCAACCTGTTCGAAATATAAATGTAAATATCTAATTGAAATCTTGTCCAAATTCAATTCGGCCGGCCAATTGGGGACTGAAACCCCAAATTTTGGTGTTACAAAGTTGGGGTATGGTTCCAAAATATTTCTTCGTGTTCTAGACCTACGCCCACCTGATCTGGGACCGTTCCGTACTTTATACCTAATTTAGAATTACAAAATTTATATTTTTTCTAATTATCCTAAGATAATTAATTTTCAATTAAAAAGATTTTTTTTCTTTAAAAATTTTTATAAAATATTTCAGGTGACGTCAATAATTGCTGCATTAACCACGATAAGTTGAAATTAAATTAGTTAAAATTTTTTAAATTTAATTTTATTAGTTGCTATAATAGACAGAATGGGCGTGGACCTTGTGATGATGCTTTCTGTGGATGTTTAAAGGTTTGGAGAATTCAAAAAATATTTTAGAGAATTGAAATTATATAAATATTAATTAAAAATATTTTTGTTCTAAACCAAAATAAAATTTAGACAGTCTCTAATAAGGCCAAATGTTTTGATGGTATTAAAGCATTTTGTTTAACTGTAAAATTGTTTGGAAAAAACGCTTACAAGAATGCAGCAAAAGATAAAAATAAACCCCCTAAAAAACAAAACAGTAAGTAAATTAATTTAAAAAATATTTTTGTCGACAAATTATTGTTTTAATTGGGTGCCGGAATTTTGGTCACCGGAATTTTGGTCACCAAGGATTTTCGGAACTTTGGTCACCAACTTTTTTGGAATTTTGGTCACCAGCGGAATTTTGGTCACCAAGTCAAAAAACGGAATATTGGACATTGAAATTTTGGTCACCAATAGGAATTTTGGTCACCAAGTCAAAAAACGGAATATTGGACATTGAAATTTTGGTCACCAATAGGAATTTTGGTCACCAAGTCAAAAAACGGAATATTGGACACTGAAATTTTGGTCACCAATAGGAATTTTGGTCACCGACCGGAAAAAATAATCTTATCTAAAACTGATATCAAAGTGATAAAAAATGATTTTTCAACCCCCAGTTGATCAATTTCAATGTTGATCACTCTCATGGCTGATCACTCCCTCAGTTGATCACTCTCGATCACTCTTCCGGATGATTGATTAACTGGCAGAGTGATCAACATTGAAATTGATCAACTGTGGGTTGAAAAATCATTTTTTATCACTTTGATATCAGTTTTAGATAAGATTATTTTTTTCCGGTCGGTGACCAAAGTTCCGAAAATCCTTGGTGACCAAAATTCCGGTGACCAAAATTCCGTACACCTTTTAATTAGTTGACTTAATTATATACTTGAATAGTCTTAAAGAGAAAATATTCATGACCTAAAGAATAGAAGTATAAAAAATTTGTAAAGTCTCATTTTAAACTAAAAATAATATTTTGGAGAGAACTTTCATTATAGGCTTCCCCCCTCCCCCCAGTTTACTCAACATTTAGAACCACTAACAATCCAATAATTTCCCTTATACCAGGGCTCCGATCGACAAAATGCCACTCAAAAGTATCAAAATCTTGTAAAAAAAGTACATAGGGAGAAAATTTGCAAATAAAAAGTACACTCAAAATTAAATTTGAAAATATTTATTCGTGATCAAATCTTTTATATTTCTCTCCTAAATTAATCTTTTCTAATAATTTCTTGTTTCAACTGAGCACATGAAGCAAAGCTCTGACAGTCTTAACCTCAAGCGAGTTTCTTTCTTTCGTCCATTGAATGTTTGCCATTGAGAAGCGCCGCAGGCGAAAATTTTTTGAAATTTGGAGCCTAAGAAGCCAGATTTCTTTTTCAGCGCCGCAGGCGAAAATTTTGAGAATTTTGGAGGTCCTTAAGCCAGATTTCTTTTTCAGCGCCGCAGGCGAAAATTTTGAGAATTTTGGAGGTCCTTAAGCCAGATTTCTTTTTCAGCGCCGCAGGCGAAAATTTTGAGAATTTTGGAGGTCCTTAAGCCAGATTTCTTTTTCAGCGCCGCAGGCGAAAATTTTGAGAATTTTGGAGGTCCTTAAGCCAGATTTCTTTTTCAGCGCCGCAGGCGAAAATTTTGAGAATTTTGGAGGTCCTTAAGCCAGATTTCTTTTTCAGCGCCGCAGGCGAAAATTTTGAGAATTTTGGAGGTCCTTAAGCCAGATTTCTTTTTCAGCGCCGCAGGCGAAAATTTTGAGAATTTTGGAGGTCCTTAAGCCAGATTTCTTTTTCAGCGCCGCAGGCGAAAATTTTGAGAATTTTGGAGGTCCTTAAGCCAGATTTCTTTTTCAGCGCCGCAGGCGAAAATTTTGAGAATTTTGGAGGTCCTTAAGCCAGATTTCTTCGTTTTTTCAAAAATGTTGATAAAAAAGTACATACTTTCAAAAAAGTACAAATTCAATTTCGGAAGTACGAAGGTCGATAAAAAAGTACAATACTTTTAAAAAAGTACGAATCGGAGCCCTGCCTTATACCAAATTTAGTCTTTACAAAATAAAAATATACAAATCAGTAAAAAATTATTTTATTTTAAAGATTGTAACAAATACAAATTAAAATGAAATAATCGGGTGAGGGGCACAACTTCGAATGACAAAACTCCGAATTACCTAAAAATTAATTTTAAAAACTATTATATTAATATATTCTACTATTTTTGATAAAATTAATAAAATTTAAATTTAATTATTTATTATTAAATATGTATAAAAAACAATTATTTATTCTAAATATTTAAATAATTACTTTCATTTATTTACAATTATGTATTTAAAGTTTAATCATTTTTCCATCAAAATTTCTTTCACTAATTTTTGATTTACAAATTGTATTTAATGGAATTGAAGAATTAGTAGAAGATTGATTAATAAATTTATTTAAATTAATTCTTTCATTTGTATTTAATTGTTTCTAATAAATATTTAAATTAACAAAAATTTAGATAAAAAGTAGAGTCCCGGTTGGGAGCGGGCGGGATTATCCTGGGTTTTTCGAATCCCGAGACCGAAAGATGAATCCCTATCCCAATTTCTGTCAACCCCGATCCCGTGTCGGATCGGTATCATCATTTCCAAAATCCCGATCCCGGTTTTTTCTCTAAATCCGATACCACTGAACTCTAATAAGAAGATTGTTTACTCATTTATTAATAAAAACCGCTAACATATTTTCTATAACATTATTCTAATCTGAACCTTACATCATCCTCTCAATTACTCCTCTATCCCTCAATATTTATTCAAACTTTTACCCCATTATTCTTCTCTTTAAATTCATTATTAACTACATCCCCAACAATATTCCTCTGCCTTTGTTTATCTATTAGAAATCGGTGAATTAAAATAATAGCCATTATAGCTGCTTGTGTTAATGTTAATATAGAAGAACCCATAAATAATGACATCTATTTATATTTAAAAATATTTATTTTTCTTTTGAAAATTTAAATTAACTTGACCACCAATTTGAGCAATTAAACCCATAAAAGTAACTGTTGCTACCTCTTCTATTAATTCAAATTGTAAATCATTATAGGAAAGATCTATTCGATAAGCAAAAGGGATTGGACTTGAATTTCCATAAACTAATAAAGCATCTATTTTCTTTTTTTTAATTTATTTTTTAAATTATTTAATTAAAAACCTCCATAGAAACTGTATATTCCCAACGATCACAGGCAAGTATACACTAAAAATGATTATAAAATAAGGGAGTTTTATGGAAGGGGATTTAATGAAGAGAATTAAAGGGAGGGGAAGTAATTTTTTAATAATTATTTTTGGAATAAAATTAAATAGTTATGATTTGAAGAGCACAAAAACCAGAATTTCTACGACTTAAAATATTAAAAATTTTGAGGAAATTTCTTCAATAGGGGGCAAATCGTTAATAGATGAACTTTAAAATTCTTCCTCTAAACGTTCAAATTTTTTTATTAAATTATTTACAGATTGTATTGTATAATTAGCATTCTCTACTGCATTTGAATAATTTTCAATAATTGTATTTGGATCACAACTATAAATTTTAACAAAAATAATTTTAAAATATTAATTTTTAAAGCCTTGAAAGTTTTGTTGGTCTAATTTCATTCATATAAGGATATGTACAATTTAATGGGCCTTCCAAATATGTTTGTATCCAACGCTCAATGTAACAAATATCCTTACCAACATTTAAGTATTCATCACTACAAACCTTTAAAAAACAAAAATTATTTTAATAATTATTTTTAGAAAATTATTTTTCTTTTTAAAAAATATTCTGTTTATTTTTGTTCAATTTAATAAAAATAATTTAAAATTAAAATTACTCTATCCAATAATTATTTTTTATTTTTTACTTCAGCTGCTGGAAAAAGTCTAATTCGACGGGCAGATAAACGCATTTTTGTCCAAACATTCGGGTACAAATAATAACGAGGAAAAGGAGCTATTTGAGGTTTATGTTCAGCAACAAAAGCAATTATTTCCTTTAAAAGAATTTTTTTTAAAATTTCCTCCTCTCAAAAAATAAAACTACCTTTATTTTATTTAAATTTTTATCCATTTCTGGTGGATACATTAATTGAATTCTTAATTTCCCTAATTCGTCAAAATTCTTTTGATAAAGTGAAATAGTTCGGAAACAACGACCTCTTCGAATTAAATATATTGGTTCGAATACCTTAAAAAGAAATGCACACAAAAAAATAATTTCAAAAATATATTTACTTTACAACAATCTAATTTTGTATCTCCCAATTGACAATGTTGAAGGAATTGTTTACATTGAAGTCCAAAATTATCAAAAAACTTTAAAATTAAATATTCTCCTTAATATTTTCCCCAAAATTCTTTACATAATGAAAGAATTCTTCAATTGTTTTATTTCCTCGAAATATCAAATAAAAATTGTTCATTCGTTCCCTTGCTTGTTTATCCAACCAACTCACGTTCATTTTCTAGTATATCCACAGAAGAGAGAGTTTTTTTAAAGAAAATTCCAAACTTTTATTTAAAAAATCAAAACTTTTCCTTTTTTTCTTTCAATTTTTTTCTCAAAAATTAATTTTAAAAATACTACCTGAAATCCGGAACCGGCAATCATGTAAAAAGCGAAATTAAATACATCCTCTTTTGAATATTCTTTAATTTGATTTTTATTAGCTACAAAAAGATTTTTTTCCAATTTTTCCAAATCAATGTTGGCTGCATTTGTTGGACAAACGGTTAGTTGAGGCAATAATAATTTATCCACCTACAAATTAATCCAAGTATATAATTTTTCTTAAGAAAGGTATTGACCCAACAAGCTTCGAAATTTAAGATTTACTTCGTACCACCCTTAATTTTGGCATGTGTTCGTACTTAATATTAACACATTTTTTGTTCGTATCCTACTATGTATTTCTATTACAAATTTTGGTACAAGCGTCGAAGCACAGGAAGTATTTTTAAATAATTAAAAATTTCAGTTTAATAGAACATATGTATCTTTAATTTAACTCGTGCTAATTTTTAACTCGTGCTAACCTTCTCACTAAAATTATTAATTTAAACTTCCTAACCGATTTAACATTTATAAGTGTTGCAGATGGAACTTGAACATATTCGTGTACAATTCTAATAATTATATTTTATAAGATATATTTCTAAAAAACCTATAAATTGTAAAAAGTCCAATTAAAAGACAAACACTTAAAATACTAAACCACAATATTCTATACCAAGAATATCTAGCATTTAAAACACTATGTATACCCAAATAATCAAGTCCTGGATAATCTTCTGCTAGAGTCCTTCTAACCAATTCTTTTTTTCCGTGTTTTTGACTGAAATTTAAATTATCTTTTTCGATTAAATTAGGGAGATTATGGACTGACAAAGAGAACTGATCGAGGTAAACACTGACTAAAAATTCCCTCCTATGTATTCTTGGATATTTTTATTGTATGTATTTCACTTCATTTTCCCCTATCAAATTGTTCATTACTCCAAAAATTTTTGGGATAGAGGAAAAAAATTAACTAGAAAAAATTAACTAGAGGAAAAAAATTAACTCTATATAGCCCTTCTACTCTAAATAGAGGTAAAAAATTCAAAAAATTTAAATTTAATAATTAATTATAATTAATTTTAACCTTAATGTTGAACTTTTATTCATTTTTTGCAATTTATCTAGCTCCTATTTGATAGTGCATACAAATATGTATCTAATTGTAGAGTTTAATAAAAGTAAAATGGATTACAAAATTAATATTTATATAAATATAAAACAAGATTATACATATTTTTTATTATTTACACGTTTATATTATTGACCAACAATAAATTTTTGTATTTTTACAAAAATAACTATTATTTTCTCTCACACTCTTTTCACTCTTCTCAATTTCAATTTTTATTCTTCGAAGTAAACAATTGAAAAAAGTTTTTGCGTGGCTGGCAGTGCGTGGAAGAGATTACAAAAAATAAAATATTTGGTTAAAGTGAGGGAAATATGTATTTTGTTGAGTTATTTAAAGAATTGTGGAGGGTGATGGATTGATGGATGGATGATTTGGGAAGGAAAAAGGGGAGTAAGAGAAGTAGATTAATAGTGATTTTTGTATTCTAAGTTTTATAAGGGGAGGTTGAATCGTTCGATTAGAAAGGAGAATTTTAAAAATACTATGCTTAAATATTTTTCAATTAGTAATTATTCTCAAATACCCAACTAAAAAACAATAAACCACAGAAATCAAAATTTAAAATATTTAAATAATAACTTAAAATTGTAAGGAAGAACCTTTGTAATATTAACTACAAAATTACAAAATTACAATAATTTTTTTTTTCGAAAGAGAATTATAAATAAATACAAAAACAACAAATTCCTTTCAAGAATAATCCATTAACTACAAAATCAACGAAAAAAAACACGAAAACTATCCAACCAAAATAATTCCAAAATTTGGAGTAAAAATAAAAAAAATATTCAGTTAAATTATTGGAGCGAACAATCAGATTTTGTTTTTTTATTTGATTGGAATTTTAAAAGTTTTGTGAAATGCAATAAATTTACAGGATTTTTTAGAAATAGAAATAATTTAGAAATAATAGAAATAATTTATTAGTTTTTAGAATTAAGTGATCTGTTGATGAATATTCAAAAATTTTTATTAAATTTAAACGATTTCTGTTGCCTACTCATTTGTTTTAAATACGCATAGTTCAAAAATTTTTGGAGAAATTTTTTGGAGCAATTAATTTTTAAATTTAAAATTATTTTTTTAAAATAATTCTTTAAACTTCTAATTTTCAATAAATTAAATAATTAGATATATTAAAGTAATTAAATTTTATTCTCTAAAATTGTTTGAGATCAAAATTATAAGATATACATATATTATCAAAAAATATATAAAAAAGGGTTGTTTAATTAATTTTTCTTTAAAATTATTTCTTTTCCCTCTCAATAAAATTAGCCAACACGCATTGCATGCATTCGATCAGTTGGGTTACGTTTAGCTAATGGTCCATCTCGCTATAGTTAAAATTAATTTTATTAAAATTTTTTAATTAATTAATTGATTAGATAAAGTTATTTTAAGGTCGGAGTAATTTTAAATTTATATAAACTTGAAATTATTTTGCACAACATAGACTGAAAATTATAACAAAATACTAAGCAAAAATTATCTCAATATTTTATTTATTAATGTTTGTAGTAACACAAAAATCACCTCAACAGATTGAAAAAGTCTACGGCCATCATTTTCTCGATAAGCAGGCATTCTTTGTACAATATCACGCCAAATATGCGTATAAAAATTTCGTTTAGTTGGCGATCCTAAAAATAGTTGATCATATTTATTAGAAGATTTGGAAGAAGTTTGTGATGATAAAGAAGATTTTGGGTTATCTAATATGTCATTTTTGTTGACTTAAAAAAGAAAAAAATAAAATTTTTGTAAGGATAATTAATTGGCAAAATTAAGCCCCCCCCCCAACCCTACCAAAAAATTATATTTTTAATTAATTTTACCAGTACCTTTTTCATTATTTTCATTAATTTCAGGCTCTTCTTGTAAAGTATTAGATGGCGGATCCAAAGAAAGAAAACGATAACCAAAAAGGGGGCTAACAAATGCCCCTCTTGCCATTGGAGCAAAACGTCGGTAGAGATTTTGGGGACGTGTTAATATTGTATCTACAGCCTCGTTTTTGTCTTTAAAATTAAAAAAATTTATAAATATTTTATCTATTTTATTTACTTTCATCAAAATTGTAAACTGGATAATAAGCAGAAACGCTGCTTAAAATAATTAAAAATGTAAATAAAATAAATGAAGAGAATTGTACTAAATTAAATAAAGTTGCCATTAATTTATTATATTTAATTTTTAATCTATAATTTAATTGAATTAAAGGAATAGTTAAATTTAAAGTTTTCGAAATATAATGATTTGAGAAAATAGCAAGCTTAACTAACAATAATTTTTAAATAATGCCCAAAACTTTTCCGATGCCTCAAAATGTCAAATTAAGGCCTTGGCCCTTATGTGAGTCATTAAAAAATTTTTAAAGGATTTTTTATCTTAAATTATTTTAAAAAATAAAAAGTATAATGTAAAAATTATGTTAATGTATAAATTGCGTATAAAAAATTATTTTAAAAATTGAAAAAAATAAATGAATGATGAGAAAAAAAATGAAAAATATTCGGGATGCTTTTTTAATTAATTATTTATATACACATCATTATCTAGAGAATATTATTATTATTTTGTTAATGTAATAAGTAGTCTGTCTTTTCATATCTTCCAAGAAAAAAAGAGTAAATTAAATATTGGATAAAAAAAGAAGAAAAAAAGAAAGGAAAAAATGTTCCTCTTGTGTTTGGTCTATTTTTGAAATTTTTTTAATTAAATTAATTTAAAATTATTTTTTCTTTTTTTTGTGTTTTATTCTTTTTTGTTTCTTAAAATTATTTTAATTAATAATTAAGAGAAGAAGGAAATCATTTAACCATCAAAAATTAGCAAAATCAAGGTCAACAAAAACTTCCCCATTTTTATGTTCTTTCCTTTTATAGTTAAAATTAGTTATTTAAAATAAATTTAAAAAGAAAATATTTATAATTAAAAATTCTTTTAAGTAAATTATTTTGCATTAAATTTATGAAAATTTTTAATTTTTAATTTAGGAATGGGAAGAAAACTTTTAATTATTGTCTAGATTTTATATGTATGTATGTATTGTGAGATAAATTTTAATTTAAACTAAAATAAATTTAATGGGGAAATTCTATGAAATTCAGAGAATTTATTACATCAGAATCTTGAAGCTGAAAAACTTTATTAAATTGGAGTTATTGCTTAGCCACCCCCCCCCTTCCAAAAACATTAAACCGTTCACTCAACTTAATTGCAGTATAAATCAGATCTGGCCACGAATATTGATTTTGGTATCCGTATACGAAAATTTACGGCGGATATCCCAGGCGGATATCCGCAGGCATCTTGATATTATCTGTATCCATATCCGTAACCATGACCAGGTCTGGTATAAATTACTTAAAGAGTTATATAAATAAATAAATTATTATTTAGGTATATTAAATTAAAATAACATTCTAAGCTTTTTTAAACTATCGATATATTATTATTTAAAAAATATTTAGACAAAAATTTCATTACCAAATTTTTAGATCTTTAATTTTTGTCAGAAATTCTCAAAAACATATACCTAATTTTAATTTTTCAATTAAAAATGATTTTTATTAAAATAAATTCTTTTATAAATTCATCATTTAATAATTATTTCTCAAAATTATTTATTTATTTTATTTTTCTTTTTAATTTATTTGAAAAATTTATTGGAGAAAAAATTAACCAAAACAACGAAAATAAAATGTTAGAAAATTTGGATGTTTTGGAAATACCTGTTAAATTATTTCCAGAACCTCATTGTAATCATCAAGTTAAATTACATTCAGAACAGGGACCTATTGTTAAAAGGTAGAAGAAAATAAAAATTAAAATTAAGGAGAGATTAAATAATAAATATATTTTTATTTGATAAAATTAAAAATTATTTTAAAATAAAATAGAGGAAATGATAAATGAAAATAAAATAAAGCTAAAAAGCAGTGTGGCCTATAAAACTGAATTGACCTTTATTTATATATTCTTTTACCTCATAAAATCTAAAATATCACGCAAACATTTATTTTTTCTTTGAAGCTAAAAATATATAAATAAATAAATTATTAAAGTATACGTGGCTAATACTGAGTTTTTACATTTAACATTAAAAATAAAAAATAATTTTTTATTATGCTTGTGATGTACTAAAATAGTAAAGGCAAAAAAATTTTTAATCAAAAAAATGATTATAAAGTGCTAATTTCAGTTAATTAATAATTACTATATATTTATTTTTATTTTAACATAAATTACGTGATACAAACAAATTTTTAAATAGAAATTAGGGAATATAAAAATTTATTTTTTATATTTAATTTACTTGTCAGAATTAATTTTTCACTACGTATAATTAAGTGCATGTTTGTTTAAAGGGTATATTTTAGTAAAATAAAGTACAAATACTGGTAATTATGTATGCTTAGAATTTTATATTAATTAATTAAAATTAAAAACTAATAAAAAATTCAATTTTATTTCCGGATTAAATTTCTGTTTAATTAATTAATATACCTATTTACTTAGGCTATTTAAATATTTAAAATAAATTCAGAATAAAATTAAATGAAGTTATTTTATTTAATAAGAAGAATAATTCATTAAAGTAGGATCGGGATTTTGGGGATACTAGCCGTACTTCTAGCAAACTGCTGCCATTGATTAACAATTTTAAAAACGAAAAAATAAATTTAGAAAAGTTTCTATTGGTGAAACAATTGTGCATATATGGAGCTGTTCTTATGGAATTACTGAAAATAGTTCAATAAATAATTGGAGGAATATTAATCATAGAGATCGTACTTATTGTATGATGGTGAGGAACTGTACGGTAATTAATTTTAATTCGAGAACTAACTATTTTTTAAAATTAAGTTATGCAATATATAAATAAATATAAGTATTAATAAAATATTTAATAAAAAAATATATGTAGTATATATTTATTTATTCCCTTTAAAAATAAAGTTTCAGGTTTCCAATCAAAGTCGGCAAACAAAAAGTCCAGAAATTGGTGTCTCTGTAGTAGAAATTGTAGACGAATTTGGCTGTTCTAATTGGCCAGATATTTTACCCCAAATAAAATATCATGGAGATCTAAAAGCAACATTAGAAGTGCAAGCATTTGCTTTAGAATATGATAATGTATTTTTAATTTTAAATTAATTTTTGAAGAAAAAATAATTTTCTAGACAGAAATGAACTTTTCTTGTCAAATTACTTTACTTTTGAAAAATAACGGTCGTTGTAGACGTCCACAATGTTTGAAAACAAAGAATTAATTAATAAAAATAAACATTTATAAACAATAAATATTATTTTATTTTTATTTAATAATTGGAGAGGGGGGTTTAATGTTTTTTACTGTAATTTCATTAATTGCACTAAAAACTTGATTGTATTTATTGAACTCCTCATAATAATCTGAATTAGAAACCGAACTGGGAGAGTATATGGGAATGTTACGAGATATTTCGAAAAATAATGATATCGATAACCGAAATTTTTGTCGATATCTACTCTCGGTTCGATCTTTAGCCTGAACACTACATAATAGACATAAATAATTTAACTGAAAAATATTCAAATTATAATTAAAATAAATAAAATAAATTTAATTTAATTAAAAATTAATAAATATTTTTAAAAATTTATTCTTCTTTAAATCAATCCTGAACAATTTTTAATAAAATTTACTAATTTTATCCAAATCTTATTAACGTTTTCCATAACCACCACTCATCCCACTCATTCCCATGTTTGAATATCCACCACTACTTCCCATACTCGGTCCATATCCACTACTTCCCATACCCATTGAACTTCCCCCTCCACAACAACCACCACCGCCCATATTTCTTTAAATTAATTGAAATAAATTAATTTTTTTATTTAAATTTTATTTTTTACCCTCCACTATAACTTGGCTGTCCATAATCTTAAATAAATATTTAAATATTTATTTTAATAATTTTTTACTTCTTATCATCCTAATAGCTTCACTACCAATAAAAAATGCAAAAACAAAAATAAAAATAATTGAGAAGGATTTCATATTAGAAAATTAAAAAAATATTTGAAAACAATTAATTTCTAAAAATTAAATAATATATTTAATTTTTATTAAAGAAATGACAAAAAATATATATAATTTGTGAAGAATTTTAATTTAAATAATTTTATTTAAAAATAAATATATCTGATTTAATTTTTAAAATTGAAAACAATTTAAATACTTCTTTGATTTATTGTTTTTAAGTGAATGGCCTAAGGGGTTATCTTACGTAATTTATGTATAAAAAATATTTTTGGCCAAAACAAAAGATTTTTTAAATTAAAAAAGAACAATTTAAAGTAATTAATATTTCAATGAAATTAATTTTTAAATTGAAAAAAATTTAATAAAAGAAAAAAGTGCAGATTTAAAAAAATAAAATTATTTATTTTTAACCGGTTTTAAATTATTTTTTTTAAATTATAATTATATTTATTTTTTTTAATTATTTAAAAATTAATTATTATTTGGAATGATGTAAATTTTTAATTTTAAAAATTGTAATTGAGGAAATTGAAAATAAAATATTTTTAAATAAAAATATTTTTTATATTTTTGAATTAATTTAAATATTTGAATGTTAAAAAATAATTTTTTTAAATAATATTAAAGTTGATAAAGCAAAGCTTACTAGGAGATTAATAAAAAATTAATTGACTTTTACTAAAATATTTTTATAAATTTTTTAAAATTAATTTTTACTTCCCCTTAATTCTTAAACAAAAATTTAAATTTTTTTCCTTCTTTTTATTATTATTATCTAAATAATATTTAAAATTAAAAATAAACAATGGAAATAATAAAATATATATAATATTTATTATTATTATGCAAACCATTTCTTCTATTTATTTAGGCTACTATTTAATTAAGCAATAAAAACAAAAGAAAAAATAAGTATTAATCAAAGATTTTCACATTTTATTATTTTATTATTTTATTCACTCATTAAAAATGTTTAATTTAAAAAATAATTTTAAATTTAATTTTCAATTAAATAAAATTAATTTATTAAATTATTATTTAATAATTATTATTAAATTAAATTTATTTTATTTTTCATCCTCTCAACAATCTTGGCGTTAGTTTTTCTTTAAAATCTTTTTTGTAAAGAATTCGTTAAAGACAGTCACTGATTTTTTAAATTAAAAATACGAATTAAAAATTATGCTTAAAACATTTAAATTCAATCCCTTTAAATTTTGATGATTTTAAATAAAACCCCAAAATATTTTTCAGCATGTATCCAGACAGGCCCAGGAGTTGGTGTTTGTGATGAGAAAATGGTTAAATAAATTTTAAATTTCAACAAAATTTAAAACAAAATTAATTTAGCCCCCCACTCCTTGTATTCCCTCTCCAAATGATCCAAATAAACTTGTTTGTCCATCGCCAGATTGTCAACGAGATGAGGATTGTTTAACTTTTGGTTGTAATCAACAAACTAAAAAATGCAACGAATTTATAGAAAAAAGTTTAAAGAAATAAAATTTTTAAAAATATTTTTTAAATTATTTTGAGATGTTGGAGATAGTTGTAGAACACATAGAGAATGTGGATTAAATAAATTATGTGATGGAAGTCAATGTAAACAAGTACCTCAAGGATCACCTTTTGAATTTAGCACTTTTAGTAAGTTTAGTAGTTGGAAATTTATTTTTCTTAAGGAATAATGGGGGAATGAGAGTTGGGAAATTAATTTGAAGTGTGGTAATATTTCTTTAAATAAAATAACCACTTGTAGCAGTTCATTATTTCATATAAATTTAATATCAACATTTAATTATTTATTTTTATAATTGTGTACTGTAAATCCTCCATCTGGATGTGAAGAAACGAGAGGAATGGAGGAATGTAGACCAGACCCAGATCCTTCCACAAATAGAGGTGTTTGCCTCAAAAAGAGTTCAGATCCTGCAGCTAGAAAACAACTTGATGAATTAACAAAAAAAGGTGGAGGAATTGGTGGTGGTATACTAACATATGGAGTTAAAGAAGGAGAAGGTAGATTTAAAAATATAATAATAAATGGCTAATATTATCTATAAAATAATTTAAAATTAAGCTTGTACAAAAGGAATTACTCGTTGTGAAACACCTCTTTATTGTGACGGTGTTTGTAAAAAGACTTGGAATTTACGTAATGAAGTTAGTGGACATAGAATACCTCCTCCACCTGGTGATCCAAATTGCAGAGATTCTTTAGATTCTGACGAAGTAGATGAAAGTAAAACAAAATGTAATGAAGTAGAGGAACTTTGTAATGTAATTATTTATGTCCAATTAATGAAAGAACAATGTCCAAAAACTTGTGGATATTGTGATGATCCTAGTTTAACTTTAATTGATTATGATAATGAAATTGATGAGGAAGAGGAAGAAAGTTATGAAAGTGAGGAGAGTGATGAAAGTGAAGAAGAAAAGAAAAGAAAATAGGGAGGGAATATTTAATTAATTATGATAATTTATGTATAGTATTTATTTAGTAAATAATAGAATAGAAAAGGGTATTTAATTGTTTTTTTAAATATGGTGACGGTTTTTTAAATGAAATTCAGTATTTCAGTGAGACTGTGACCTTTTAATTTCTTGGCAAAAAATTTTTGAAATATTTTAAATCCTTCTTTACACTTTTATTTTACTTACACTATTTTTGTATTATTTTAATATTTAAGATATTTTTAGAATTTTTTTAAAATTAAATTCTTGACCATTTATATTAATTTAATTTTTAACTATAAATATTTAAAAATGGTTAATAATTCATTAAACACATTTTTGGAATATATGTACCTTCCCTAAAAAATTATCAAAACCTAAAAATGCTTAAGAAAAAAAATTTTCTTCCCTGGTTTTATCCTTGGTATTTTTATGACAACTGACGGCTTTTAAGAAGAATAAAAAAGAAAAATTTTAGAAGAAAACGTGTGAGATAAAATATAAATTGAATGTTTTGGATAAATTAAATGCCAGCTGTCACAGAATTTCTCTGAAAATATTTTTAAAGGATTTAAGCAACAAATGTCTTCTTTATTCAATCTCCGATCGAATAAATGTTCTTTTTAAGCACTCAAAATTGTCAAACAAAACTTAAATATTTTTTACTTTATTTCAAAAATTCTTTAAAAAATTTAAAGTCTAAAAACGCTAATGACGTTTTTAAAAATTTTTTTTAGAAATTAAACTGCACATTTTTATGAAACATTTAAATAAAAATATTATTTCCCGATTATTTTATCATTTTATTTTTAATTTTTAGAATTTTTTAAAAATTAAAACTCGGACTAAATTTTAATAAAATGTCCGCTCCAAGAAGTGTTGCTAGCGGTGTTGGTGCTGCTGTTATGAATAAGGCAAGATAATTTAAATGAAATTTTCCTAAGATTTAAATTTTTTGTAATTTTAAGCAAGCCAGTAAATACAATGAAGTTGAAGGAGAACTCCTTCTTAATTGGATTAAGAAAGTTACTGGTGAAAATATTGCAATAAACGGAACCAGGGAAAATTTTGTGAAACAATTGAAAGATGGAACTTTGCTTTGCAAGTAAATATTTTGATTTTGAAATTAATATATATTCAAAATAATTTAAAAATAGATTTGCTAACAAAATTATGCCAAATTCAATCACAAAGGCACAGGCAAAACCGAACAGCACATTCCAGTAAGCAAACTTTGAATTTATTCTTTAGATTTTTTCATATACAACCCGTAATAATAAGAATAAAAAATAACACTTAACAGATCCTCATGGCCCCAATAGGCCGTGAGGTAATATACAAATATTACTTATATTTCAATTATTAATTAAAAATTATTAAAGATATATGAACAATTTGGAGCTGTTCTTAACGTTTATTTCAAGCCAAGGAGTCCCTAGGGAGGAACAATTCCGAGCAGTCGATTTAGTTGAATCTCGTGACCTCTACTCTGTTTGTATGACATTAAATTCTCTTGGCCGCATTGTAAGACAATTTTTAAAATAATTTCCAAAAATTAATTTTAAAGTTGGAACGTCAAGGAAAAACTCATCCAGAGCAGGTTAAGTCGTCAGAAATTCTTAATTTGGGTACTGGTGACCAAGTGCGCCTTCGTGTTTAAAGATGGAAATTGAAAGAATTTTGGTTAAGAATAATAAAAAGACATTTTACGGCAATAAAAAAAGTCAAAAAAGCTTGTCTTTTAAATATTTTGGCAAAACATTTTACTTTCACAAATTTTAAAATAAATTTATTAAGATTTTGATTTAAAAACAACTTGACTCTATCATTGAACTTGAGTCTCCGTTAAGTCTAAAATATTTTATAAAAAGTTTCCAACTAAAAAATTTGTAAAATACAATATACCGTATTTTCTCTGAAATAACCCCTGGGGGTTATTTTTTTCGATCGACCTCTAGAGGGGGGTTATTTTAGAAAGGGGTTATTTTAGAGGGGGGTTATTTTAGGGTTATTTTAGAGGGGGGTTATTTTAGAGAGGGGTTATTTTAGAGGGGGGGTTATTTTAGAGAAAATACGGTAACGTTTATAAGATTTAAAATTAAAAACTATATAAAATAAATTTGTATAAAATACAGTAAATCTTCTAATAAACTACATAAAACAATGGTGGTTTTTAACCCTATTCATAAAGGATTTTTCTATTTTTGGCCTTCTCCCTATTTTTATTTTTCCCCTATTTTCTACATTTGCCCATATTTTCCCTATTTTTACCATTTTGTAAGAAAATGTGAAAAATGGAAAATCCCTCTTCTTATCCTTCCAAAATTCTCGAAATTTTGCCTGCGGCGCTAATTCTTAGTTAATTTTAATTGTAACCACGATATTTTTATCCAGATTTGCTCAATTTAGTTAAAACTATCGAAAAATAAGCTATGGTTTAGCTGAGGATCCGTTCAGAAACGGGTCGAATTATAAACCATTCGATTCATCTCGGCGAGCTGGCTTGAAAGTTACCACTCTCCAGGTGAGGTAATGCATGTGGACCGAGATATAGGTCCGCAAACTTTGGAAACCATATGGGGAGACAGCTCAATTTTGGGGTCGAAAAATCGAAAAGGAAACCGTTTCTGAACGGGTCCCGTTCAACCCGTTTCTGAATGGGTTAAACTATATCCGAAAAATATGCAGAATAAAGCATTTTATTTGAAAATTAAAAATGATGCCTCAAATTAAAATGATGCCTCTATATTTTGCCCTATTTTTTGTATATTTTTCCCTATTTATTCCCTATTTTTGAGGGGCTGTTCCTTATTTTGATGTTTTGGAAAGGGCCACCTTGCATATAACCTTAACACTCCCTAATAGTACATAACACTTAACACTCCCTAATACACACCTTGCGAGGAGATTGAAAAATAGAAGTACATGTGGTTTATTAGAAAATTTACGGTAAATTTTTATTCTTTTTTAAAGATTAATAATCTTTCACCCTCGTCATCACTGTAAATTTTGAATAACACTTTTGGGTTATAAGTGTTGATAATTATATTTTCTTTAACATCCTTACCAATATTATAAGAGAGAAAACCAGTCTCGCTATACTAAAATTAGATAGTTTCAGAATACTAAACGGAGTGCAAATGAGTCAAATTATATCTCCTCGAAAGAGCTCGCCGAGCTGAATTTGTGTAACATATAGACCAAGATAGACTTGTGAATATGGAAAACCATAGGAAGGGGAGCTGATGTTTGGGGCGATCAAAAAAGGATTTTTAGGATTAAATGATTCTATTCATAAATAAATAAAATTAGTGTTAAATAACCGGGTTACTTGAATCGTTAAATAAGCAAATAACCCTAAACTTGAAGTTAATATGTTAATTTATTGTACTAATTTTATTTTGCAGGCTCTGTGTGAACCCGAATTCCGGACCGGGCTCCATATATTTCCGGAAATTTAGGTGTTGGATTCAGATTACGGGTAATTCGGAGAAAGAGTAGAAAGTTTAATTAAATTTATGAGTACTCAGCCCGACGAGTTCCTTCGATATCATATAGTTTGACCCATTTTCGGTCAGTTTAGTACTCCAAAATTATACATACAAAGAATTCATTCCTTGAGATAAAATTTGAACAATCCTTTGTTTCAATGTGCTAAATATATAAAATTATTTTTTATATGTACATGTGTATTCGAGGTGTGTGAGGAATTCGATGTGTTTTTTTCTTTTTTCAGGAATAATCCTTCTGGATTTAATTTAAGTCAAACTTAAATATGTTAAAAACCTAACTCAGTAAATAAACCTTATCTTCTTACTGATACAGTATACCTTTTCATTTGGAAAAGGGTCTCTATATCAATAAGTACCCAGCTCTGCATTTTAGAACCTATGGTCCGGTATTGTTACCATAGTTCTATGCCTCAAATTATGAGTCGATTGCTGATTGAATAAGGGGTGGGGAATGTTATTAATTATAACAAATCCACTTAATTACCTTTATAATCATATCATGCAATTTAAGAAACGCTCGAGTTTCTAGAAAAAGGTGAAGTCCATTTATATTTTTGCCACCATTAATTAACAATTCTAATAAATACTTGATGCATTTTTCTTTTTTGCCGAGGTATTTGAAGAAATCTATTACATGTTGAGTTGTAATAATTAAATGATCAAGATGAAATTTTATTAAATTTTTGACATTATGGTTGCTGTAAGTTAATCCGCCATGTTTTGCTCTGAATTGAAGAGGAATATTTCGTTCGTTGTCAAAAAGTATTTTAATCATTTCTGGATTGAAAAAATAATCGGAAAATGTTGCCATCCCAAAGAAACAAAGAAATAATTTTTCCAAACAACAACGGACAATCTTCATTTCTTCAATGTTTTCCGGATAGATGGGCAATTTCAAAATATAATAAACTAAAATTTTAAAGTTAAGGGTTATATAAAATAGGAAGAAAGGATTGAACCTGTTATATCATTGAACCTCACAGCTGTAAATAATTTTTTGTTTGGAGGAGTATCACAAGAACTTAAATAAACAGGAATGCGTCTATCCACTGCAGACTGCCACTTAAAAGAAAGGATTTTTTAATAAAATCTTTACAGATCGACAATTAACCTTTTTCAAGAGATTGTCTTCAAATGAAATAGTAAAAATTGCAGACTCTATATTGGCAATTGTATATGAAAATCCATTTTTAACTCTCTTCAAATCAAACTAAAATTTTAATTACAAATAAAATCTTGCTCTATGGGGACAAGTACCAATCTCTGCTTTTTAGAACCAATGGTCCCAGTAAATATAAATTTTAAAGTCTATAAATCTGTAATAAAGTTCTCAAATACCGTATTTTCTCTAGAATAACCACCTATCCGAAAAAGCCTCCCTCTAAAATAGCCCTCCTCTATAATATAGCCTTCCCCCCCTCCATAAAAATATAATTGTATTTGAACTTTGTTTATAAAGCAGGGCATAGTTGAGTGCCTATAATTCACTGATTAAAAAGAATTAATATGATATCTGGGGATTTAGTTATTAAAGTGAAGATAGAGTTCAGTTGTGGACATCGAGCGACAAAGAGGGTATCTGTGAATTTTGAGCGATAATGAGAGATATATGGGGGCTATTTTAGATGTGGAAGACGAGCACCTACCGTACGAAGTTCAATTTTACCAATTAAAACCGTATAAAATAAATTTAACCTTTTCAGTTCCTACTGTCAATAAATAATTGCATGCCAATACACTCTCATTTTGTCTAATCAAACAATAAAAGTAATAATTGGTTTGTTGGAAAGATAATAGTTGGTCAAAATTGAGAAATTTAAGAATGTCTAGTTTTACTTCAACAGGAAAATTTAACATTTGCTTTGTTGAATCTTTCAAAATTATTGGGTTAACTTTGGAATTTATAGTCTTCTTTTTGTAAAAATTATATTTTGGATTTTCCCATTTATTTTTAGAGCCTTTCTTCTTTTTGGAATTTTTCGTTTTTCTTTTATATTTTTTCAACATTATATTCTAAACTCTAAATATATTTCATTTCGAAAAATCAAATTATTCTTTTATAATTAAAGCATTTGAACTATAGCTATTTCTCTCCTTCGGCTAGTGCAAACGATTACTCGGCGACTGATGTGTTATCCATTACACTACGACTCCTACTTCACAGCCTTAGGAAATAAATAGCTACATATATGCTTTACAATATTAAAAAAATATTGAAGTATAAAATATGCAACATGTAGAAAAAATAAATACAAAAATAAAATATTTATTAAGGCAGGTTTAATTGATATGAGCTAGGTATATTTGAGTTCTTTAAAAAAATACAAAAATTATTAAATCTCCAAGTTAGTAACAAAAATTAAAAACTTATTTTTTATTGAATTCTTTTGATTTTAAAATCACAAGAGGAGTGTAAACTCAAAATAAAAGGCCCTTCTTGACCAGATTGAAAAGTCATTGGCTGAACTGAATAAATGCCTGCTGGAATCTTTTCTAATTGTAAAATTGTACATCCTCGCCTAAAATAAAAAAATTTTTAAAGAATTTAAGAGAGATCTAAAATTAAATAAATTAATTTCAATTTACCTAAAAGGTCCAGAATCTTTCCTTTCAAAATCCTTTTTTCGAAAAGAAGAAACTTGGCAAAATTCTAATCCAACACTATATTCTTTTGGTCCTTTCAAGTCAATTAAAAATTCATTTTCATCACTCCCATCTTCAAATTCAATATGGAAAAGGGGATTTTTTAATCTAAAAAAGGAAAATAAATAAAAATAAAATTCCAAAATAAATACCGAAAATTTCCTCCATTTGAATCATTTCCACATCCCCCAGCCATTTCTCCCTTCCAATTACCCGTTTCCTTAAATTTATTTTTTTAAATAATTTTCACTTATTAAAAACCTTTTTGTGGTATTTATATGGAGATGGAATGTGTCCACATTTAAATTCTGAACTAACAAAGATACGAAGGCTATAATAAATTGTTTTCATTTTTTCATACTAAAAAATAAAAAAATTATTTAATCGGGAAAAATAATTAATTAATTTACGAGAATAACCCCCCACTCACTCCCTCTCCCCCTTCCCAATAATTATAATTTTACCTGAGCCAAAACCAAAGTAAATTTATTCGTACCAGGATCACGAACAATAAGTTGGCAAAGGTAGTGAGGACTGTTTATTCTAGTTCCTTCCAATATTGGTTTAGGTTCATCTAAAAATTTCTTCTTTAAAATTAAAAAATAAAAAACATACGAGGTAAATATACTCGTTTTCCTTCATTTTTATATACAATTACCTAAAATAATGAAAATAATATTTAATTATATATAATAACCGTTATGTATTCTTTATTGTTGGCAAAGTCATCCTAAAAATATTAAAATATAACCAAAATGTTAGAATATATTTTGGACATATTTTTAATAGATTTTTGAAATTTCCCTCCTGTCAGCTTCAAATCCCAAGCACTCACTTTACTTATTTTTAGGACTGAATTAATCCCAAATGCCCAATCAGAATCCGAAGCCTTTTTAACAAGTGATAATCTTTACTTTTCGTGATAAACTGTCATTTTTAATTAATTTCTTTACCTTATCAGTAATATGACGAGTAAGTAAAATCCAAACAGAAGCAGTTCCATGTTTATTATTAACTTCTAATAAATATTGTGGATTTTCAGCAATTGTGTATAAATCTCGAATTGGCCCCATTCCTGCATGCCACGAACTAAAAAAGGATTTTTAAAATATTCTTTTAAGAAAACAAACGAATGCAAAACATAAGAAAAAGGAAACAATTTTGGATTCCAATTAACATAAAATACATCAAAAAAGGCACAAACAGATGGATAATCAATCCAAAAAACTCCATCATCGAATTGTTGAGCATCCTTTGGATTATAATCTAATTTGGCACAAAGTTCTTAAGAAGAGTTTATTTTACTAAAAATTTCTTTAAAAAATATTTACTAGGTGTCCAAGTTGCCGAATCACTTTCAGAATAACGCCCTTTCCATCTCAAATGTGTCCATGGATTTTTAACCAATAAAAGACATTTACCATCAATTTTTCTTAAATCCAAAACAGCATAAGCATGTGCATCAACTAATCCAGTCCGTTCTTGTTCACTTTTATCCAAATGTCCAGTTGCCAAAGTTATTAGACAGTGACCTGAAAAAAATATACCAGGTGTAAAATAAGAGGGTAGACAATAAAAATAATTTTTGAAATTAATGTTCAACTTTTCAATTTATTTAGGAACTCATTAATTTTCGACGTTCCAATACCTCCTTATTCAGAGTTAAATAATTTTTAAAAATAATTCAAAATTTATAAATATTTTTTTAAAATTTTATATTTAAAAAACCTTGATGAAAATGAGTAAAAAGCCGTTCAAAAACTTTTGAAGCATCAAATAATTCATTCTCGTCTGGTCTAATAGGTATACGTTCAGGTATCCAACCGGTAAGTGAATGTAAATCGATATTCTAAACTTATATATTTTATTTATTTTTCAAAAAAAAATAACCGAGCTAGAACCAGGAAAATCATATCCACCCATTACTTTTAAATAAGCCTTCTCTAAAAGAGAAACCCAAAGTTCACTTCGATTTTGACTATAAGAACAAAGTAATTCTCCATTTTTTCCAATCGGAAGCAGATCATCAATTATTATCTTTTTAAATAAAAATAATTTTAAAAATTAAAAAAAAACAAACTTTTCTCCAAATTCCATTTATATGTAATCGAACCATATATTTTCCTGATGGATTATACAAAGGATCTCCATTTTTGTTTTGTGGATAGATAATGCTATAAAGAATAATTTAATTTTAAATTAAACGGTTTTTTGGATTTTTTGAATAATAAAAACTTAAAGTCAGGTTGGAAAAAAAAAGCAAAACAAAAACAAACAAAAATTTAAATCCCATAAAACTTTTATTTAAAAAACCTGAGGAAACAAGTTTTATGGATATATACAAGGGGGTCAATCCAGAAGACCTAGACCCTAAAGAACCCAAATGACCTACTTCAATTTTTTAACTCTATTTTTACTTTTTATTTCTTCACAAATATAATCAGGGGATATCGGTGGATTTGAAGGTTTAAAAGGTAGGTCTTTTGGGTAAGAGGTCTATAGGGTGGGGTCTGACTCAATACAAGTCCAGAAAAAGATAAACTAAAAAATATTCATTCTTTCAAGTTATGCGGAATCTACTATAACCAAAATTTCTAAAAATCCCCTATTTCCAAAAACCTCATTAAAAATCTGACTATCAAAAAATTTATATATCCCCCAAAAAATTAATTTACTGTGTAATTAATTTAATTCCGAAACGTCTTTCATATCTAGCAGCAATTGCAAGTGAAGCAACGAAAGAACAATCAGAAACTATAGTCTTTAAAAAGAATTTCTTCTTTTAAAAATCAAAAACAAAAAAAAACCTGTTTAATAGTCCCAGAATCAATTTTATCAATTATTTTCGGTTCATCTTTTATAAATTCATTAGGTCTAAGCCATCCTTTTAAATTTTTTTTCTGTTTTTCTGATAACGGCAAAAGTCCGTCTTTGTCAGTAAATGGAATTGGAAGAAAAAAAGATTCATTTTTTAAATCACATTCTTCAATAAAAGGAATATATTTTCGATTATTTATAAGAGAAGTTGTTGCCAAAACGGAAATTTCATTTTGAGATAATTCTCCAAAATTTTTCTTTTTTTGATCAGACCAACGACGTCTCTGCTGTTTTCCATTATTTTTATTTTCTGTTTTTGGTTTAATTTGTGAAGTTGACTGATCATTATTTAGACTAACCAGACTAAATTCTAATTAAAAAGAAATTATTTTTTAATAAAAAAATTTAAAAAAAACCGTTGATTGGAACCTTTGGAAATATTTTATTTAAAAAATCAAAATTAATTTCTTCTTCTACTTTTTCTTCATCATCACTTAAAATTGGAGCTGAAGGATTATTGTAACCATGATTGTTAGTATTTAATGATGATTTAATTTTCTCTGCTCTTTCTATTGCTAATGAAGTTAATTCTTTTAATTTTTGTATTTTTTGAGGATTATTTGGACTTTTAAGCTTAAATAAAAATTAAAAAATTAATTAAAAAAATTTTTTTAAATATAGAAATTTTTTCAAATTTAAAAATAAAACGATAAATTTTAGTAAAAAATAAGTCAATTTAGAATTAAAAATTTTTAGTACTTTTCCGTTATCCATACCTCCTATCTACGGACTTTGTGGTCATTTATATGGATTTTATGTACACTGCGACACACCTTCGTTTTGTGTAACAAACCCTTAATTTTTAACTTTAATCATGATAAGCAAAATAAGTATAGGAGGGAAATGAAGAATAGAAGTGTTCCGCAAAAGAATAAAAAAGTCCGCAGAGGAAGTAGAGATAACGGAAAAATACTAACACGGAGAGGTTGCGAGGTCAAAATCCTTGCTAGAAAGGGCACATTCTCTTTCAAATGAGCCCGGTCTCGACAGTTTTTAGCTCGGACACCTCGCAACCTCTCCGAGTAAAAATTATTTTTTTTAAAACACAAAAATAATCTTTTTAAATAACCTCTAAAAGCCCCAATTCAGCCCCCTCTGTATACAAATTCAAAGCCTCATTATAATTTCCCTTCTCGTCATATTCCAAAGCCTTCATGACAAAAGAAAAAGAATCATTTTGTTCCGTAGCTGGTTTTACTTTAAAAAATTATTTAAAAATCAAAAAATATTTTTAAATAATTTACAATGTTTTTTCAATTCCTCACATCTATTTAAATATTTTGAAGAAATTTCTTTATATTTTTGAGGTATTTTTTTATTTTCAATTAATTTAAATATTTGATTTGCTGCTCTCTAAAAATATTTTTAAAAATAAATTTTATTTAAAAAATAAACCGAATAATAAATAATTGCATTATCAAAATCCCCAATATCATCATATTTTACTGCTAGTTGTGCTAATTGATGTAATTCATTAATCTCCATAGAAATACTAGCGAAAATTAATTTTAAAGAAATTTAAGAATTTTAAAAAAATCTAAAAATAAATTTAATTAAATTTTTTGTAACAAGAAAATTATTTCTCTTTTTCAGGAAAAATTCAAAAAAAAATTCCGGGACACGCCCAAAACTGCGCGACCGAAACTGCGCGACCGAAACTACGCAGGCCAAAACTGCGCAAGCCCAAAACTGCGCAGGCAAAAACTGCGCAAAACTAACTAGAGGATGGAGTCTCTTCCGTTGCTTTCCGTCTTTTTTTTTGCTGTTCCGCCTTCCGTTTTTAAAATTCGGTGTTCATCAAAATTTATTAAATGTAAAACATTCTAACAAAAAATTCAATAACCAGGATAATAAACTAGGAAAAAAACATAGTTTTATAACCTAAGTTTAAATTTAACTAGTTAGTCTTCAATAAGATGTGTCCAAGCTTAATAAAGAGACTAGTTAGTTTCCTTTAACTAGTTAGTCTAAAACCTTCAGAAAAACCTTCGGAACTTTCTCGACCAAAAACAAGTATTCTTTGCTCATCTTCTTTCCAGGTTTATATTCATAACGTTGGTAGTTCTGAGGAATTATCAAAACAGCGCGACTTTCATTATTTTGTGGTGCATCTTGTGCCGGAGTCGAATCCGTTTAACTACTCTGCGTATAGCTGAACTTGTTCGTTATGAGAATGTTTTTCTTTATTTTTTTCCTTTATTTATTTTTACTAAATAGTTTTGCGCAGTTTTGGCCTGCGTAGTTTTGGGCTTGCGCAGTTTTGGCCTGCGTAGTTTCGGTCGCGTAGTTTCGGTCGCGCAGTTTTGGCCTGCGCAGTTTTGGGCTGTACCCAAAAATTCCTGACCACCAACCAAAGGTCGTTTCAGCGCCAATTAAATTCCGAATTTAAATATTCCTTTACTTTTTCTGTTTTTTTCGCTAGGATTGTATTGAGATTCTAAGCTTTGCCGAAATTGAAAATTTATTTTTTTCCCAACCCTCACACCCTAAAATCAGCCTTAGGTTTGGGGTGAGAAGGGGAATCTCAAAAACCTAAAAATTCTTTCATACAAAATAAACAATTACCCACAGGTTAAGAAAGGAAAAGAGGTTAAAGAATATTAGTGATTGTAAATGTTATGTACGTGACTTGTGTGTCTACGTACTAACAAAGAATAACAAGATAAGACAGTATCTAACAACTGTGCTTTATCTACAATACAAAATACAATAAGGGCGAACAATAAGGAATATGGCTAAGCGCCGAATATGTTGGAGACAGAATAGAATAACAGAATAAACACTGCGACAATAGACTCAGAACGACTGAATAATAGGAAGGCTTTTATACTAAGCCAATACCCAACACCTCCCTCTTTTAATAAGAATAACTTACACTTGAATTGAATAATACTCCGAATAGTGTCTCCAAACAAACAAGAAAATACATACAAAGGGGCAAAATACAATAATTACACAAAGGGGGCAATACAAAAAATACATACAAACAAAATATTATCACAACAAAAAAATATCCCAAACTTCAAGCATCAATACTAATACCGCTCATCTTCTCGTCGTCTTCATTCTTCTCATCGATCGGCTTCGGCTCATCTCGTCTTCGAGAAAATTTGAATTGGTTCCTCCCGATACCTTTTTTGAGTAGTATTCTCTACTACTAATCTTTTGGGTGCTCGAATTGTTCTTTTAGGTCTTTCAAATCGAATTTCATTATCTTTACTTTGAATTGTACTCTTTTCATTTTGAATTGGAATATTTTGAATATTTTTATTCTGAATATGTTGTGGAGTTTTCCACCAATAATTTACTACTTGTTGGTTTCCGAAATTTTTTATTTTTCTTAATTGGTTTGCGTGTCGGTGAATAATAGCTCTTAATTTATCTGAGCGAATTTTGAATACAACACCATTTTTACTAATTATCTTTCCAGGCAGCCATTGAATTTGTTTATTTTTATCGTAATTTCCGAATAGAATATTATCTCCTACTTCGAATCTGTTTAATTTAGTTCCGTGGTGTTTATCAAACCAAATTTTCATCTTATTTCGAATATCCTCTCTTTGACTGTTAATTGAATTTCCTGGTTTTTCTGGTTTGATTAATGATAATTGAATTCGTAATTTTCTATTTAAGAATATTTCTGCCGGCGATTTTCCGCCTAATGAATAATGTGGGGTAGCTCTATAATTCAACAATACCTCTTGTAGCCAATTAATCTTTCCCCAATTTTTGTTCATCATTCTCTTAAAATAATCTACGAATCTCTCAGCCTGCCCATTAGACTGAGGGTGATATGGTGGGCTGAATATTTGGTGAATTCCTTTACTAATGCAATAATTTTTGAATTCGAATGACTGGAATGGACTTCCGTTATCGGATACAATTACGTTAGGAATTCCGTAATGCGAGAATAACCATTCCAGGTTTTTTATTGAATCTTTTGCTGACGTCGTTGTATTTCCGAATATTTCAGGCCATTTAGAATACGCATCGACTATAATCATATATAATTTTCCATCCTTACATGGACCAGCAAAATCAATATGAATTCTTTCCCAAGCTTTATTTGGTGCTGGCCATGGACTTAAATCTGTTTTAATTGGCCTTTTTAATGCCTTTTGGCATGAATCACAATTTGTAGCGATCTCCTCAATATCGTTACTAATGCCAGGCCAATAAATATATTCTCTGGCCAAATTTTTCATCCTAACAACTCCTGAATGTGTTGAATGTAATGAATCAAGAATCTTTTTCTGCAGTTTAGCAGGAATAACGACTTTATCTGCGAATAGAATACAACCATTAATTATCTGAAGGTTTTGTCTTCTTGTTGACCAAAATTTTAATTCCGAATCTTCAATTTTCTTTGGCCAATTATTATTTCGAATATAATCTATGACTGTTTTTAATTTAATATCATTGTCCGTCTCGATTTTTACTTGGTTACTATCGATTGGTAACTCTTCGAATAGAATATTTAATACGTAATTAACTGAATTCTCAACTTCATTTAATTCATCGGGTGGACCACTGTCGAATGTGTTAGAATCTGAGATTAAAGCAATAATTTTATCTTCATTTTCTGAATTTTTGCTAATTAATCTTGACAGGCTATCCGCCATGCCCATTTTTTCTGTAGAGACGAATTCTATCTGAAAATCATAATTTGTCATAATCAATGCCCATCTTTGTAACCTTGAGGCCGTTTGAATTTTAATTCCTTTTTTATTTCCGAATATTGCAAGTAAAGGTTTATGGTCAGTTCTTAATTTGAACTTCCGACCGAATAACATTTTATGGAATTTCTGAACGGCGAATACTAATGCTAAGGCTTCCTTTTCAATTTGTCCATAATTTTTTTCCGAATCACTTAATGATTTACTGGCATATTCGATTGCCTTTTCGCTTCCGTCCGAATATTTGTGGGAGATTACTGCTCCGACTCCATAATTGGAAGCATCCGCTGTAACAATAATTTCGAATTGCGGATCAAAATGCGTTAATAATAGATCTGAACTCAGAATCGACTTAATTTGTTCGAATGCTTTTTCTTGTTCCTCTTCCCATTTCCAAATTGAATTCTTTCTAAGTAATTTGTCCAATGGACCTCTGAATTGATGCATTTGATCTACGAATTTTGAATAATAATTTATTGTGCCCATAACTGACTTTAATTCTTTAATATTTTGAGGTCTTGGTAATTTCTGAATAATACCCTTTTTCTTTGGGTCTGGCTTAATGCCTTCTGCGGAGACTATATGACCTAAGAATTTCAATTCAGGCTTAAAGAAATTACATTTTTCCAATTGAATTTTTAATCCATATTTCTGGATTCTTTCGAATAATTGAATTAGAATCTTTTTATGTTCGGTTTCATTTTCCGAAGCAATAATCAAATCGTCTAAATAAGCGAATACTCCTTTTAATCCACTAATTAATTCATCCATTAATTTTTGGAATATTGCTGGTGCTGACTTAACTCCGAATGGTAATCGTTGTACTTCGAATAATCCTTTATGTGTATTAATATTTGCTAATTTCTTTGAATCTGAATCTAATTCGACTTGTAAATATGCGTCACGCAAGTCTAATTGGGAGAATATTTTATTTCCATGCATTTCAGACCAGATTTCTTGTGGAGTTGGCAATGGATATTTATTAAGCTCTAGGGCTTCATTTAATCCCGTCGAATAATCAATACAAACTCGAATTTTGCCATTTGCCTTTTTTACTGCAAGAATAGGTGCTGCCCAATCAGCGAATTCAATAGGTTTAATAGCATCCATTTTTAATAGTCGATTAATTTCTTCTTCGACTGAATCCTTAACTCCAATTGGCACTGGTCTTGCTCTAACGAAAACTGGCTTAGCTCCTGGTTTTAAGTGAAGATGGGCTTTCGTTTTGCTACAATGCCCCAGACCCTCTTCGAATACTTGACTGAATTTTGCTTTTAATTCTGTCTGAATCTCTTCTTGAATGTCCTTTTGAATTATATACATTTCTTTATTTTCACTAATAGTCGGAATTATCTCTTTTGCAATGGAATTTATTGAATCATTTGAATCCTTGTCGGATAGCGTTGTCACTATTGGATAACCGAATTTTTTCTCGAATGTGATTATCCAAGGTAATCCGAATAAATTCATTTTTTCTTTCGTTACATATACTAATAATATCTCCTCAACTCCGTTTAGGATAATAGAGCAAAAGAACCTTCCAAGAATTCTGAATTCATCACCTGTGTAGCTTTTACCATTGAAGTTTACTTTCGTCAAGAATGGACTACCGACTTTTTTCCAAGTCTCCTCATTAATGCAACTAATTTGTGCCCCCGAATCAAGAATGAATTCAACCTTTTGCCCATTTAACAAAACCTCTTTTTTAATCCATTCGAATTTTTGCTCTGTAGAGACTGACAATATTTCTGCCGAATACTTTTTGTTTTTCGAATCTTTTTTTACTTTTGTTGTGATACACCCTTCACG